TTCACATTTTGTAGACAGAATAAATCAGGTACAGCCCTTTTAAATAATCAGTGAACTGCACTCCAAACATCATCCTTTAATCTTTGGGCTGATTGGGGAGGATGATTCATTCTTGACTCTGCTATTTACTAGTGAATCTTTAATTAGCGTCCAATTGGGTTGTCCTACCTGAGAGATTACTGAAATCAAGATTGAGATTGGTAATTAAATGTTGGGGAAAAAATGACAGCCATTAAAGGTGAACAATATAACATTTCTGGCAGGGTTCTACCACCAGCTTGTCTCTAAGGAGTCACTGTCATTGCTGAAATGTTACACAATATGGCATTACATCTGTGCTTTTATCTGTATATATTCAATTGCTCATATTTAATTGCTTCAAACATGTATTCTTACTGAGAGCCTCACCACAGATCTGACCTGTAACTCGGCCTGGTAGCATCTTAGATAAGTTTAATGCCATATCTCTGTGGAGACAAGCAAGTGACTAACCCTCCACCAAAAAATTACACAGTTCATCTTTAAAAGCAAATGTTCTGAGTCTTGACAGTTTTTCCAAATTTATCTTGCATCATTTTCTATTCCCTTGATACCAATAGATATTTTTTCCTGTCTCGGTGTCCCGTGCTAAGGACAAAAACAGGAAGTGCTCTGCCAACCACTCACAGTCACAGTGTCCCATTAGTACATTGTTATTGATTTTCTGAGGCATTGTCATCAAGCTTGTTGGCTGATATCGAGCAGCCGGAGATAGGGACACACGCTCAAATGCACAGCAATCAAGAACTGTTTGTGCTACGCTTTGTCCAGACAGAAACATGTCACAGTGGCGTGAGGCAGTTCAATTGAGTACATATATCACTGACTGATCTTAAAGATAATAAATGGATTAATCAAGTATGTTTCAAAACCTTTTTAGCGGCTGTACACATAAGAATTCACTGATAACTGCATCGATTTATACTCTACTGCACTACTAATTTTGGCAATGACAATAAATTCTTGAATCTTGAATGTACAGCTGATGGTATTAGCTTGAGAACATGAAGAATCTACATTAGAATTTACATTAAGGCATATATACTTTTTTCATGGCTGTGTAATTTTCTCAAAACAACTGTAGGTCTGTACTCTATAGACATACAAAATACTATGCAAACTACTGAATAATACTAATATTCACTTTCCCTAATCCCTGCATTCACCATTGACCTTCACAGTAAGTTAGTTAAGTTTAAGGTGCATTGTGTCATGGAGAAGTTATTGTTTTGTCCGTAACATTTCACAGTATGGTACTGAACATTTCTATCATCATGGAGACTAAATCAGACGAAGTTACAGGTCAGAGCTAAGGAGAGGCAACCTTGCCTCAGAATGCCTGTTTCTGTAGTTATTTTTGAACAATAGAATCATCTGTAATTTAATAAGTATAGAGCAGAGCAGTTTAATGTCATACTGTGAAACATTCCAGGCAGAGCAATTACATATCCATAAAAACAAGCAGGTGATGGACTCCCAACCAAAAACTTATATAGTGCACCTTTAAGCTTTGATCATTTTTATCTCGCTAAACTGACTAAAATAACCTCCTTGTGTGATTGAGCTGAAATTTCATTGGGAGAATCCATCTTTGGAGATCACCTCTTATTTAACTCGTTTGTTAATATCATTTTATAGAGAAAATGCCTCTCTGTGGATATCTATCATTCAATCAGTACAGATCAATATGCTTACTGACAGCTTTTAAAGAGATCTTTCCTGCTGTGTCATATAGGACTGAGGACAATCTCTGCATGCTTTGGCGTTTCCATTACAGAGCAGCTAGTGCACTATTTGTCTCTGGCATTGTGGGTAATGGAAACAAGGGTGAGGGTGCTGTGCTGTGGTGTGCGTTTGTGTTGGAGAGTGGGATATTGAAGCTTTGTTGGGTCTTTCTCTAAAGTGCAGTTCTCTGACAGATAGCCTTGGACATTTGTATCCAAGGTCTGGTCTGGTGTGCTATTTTGGATCAAAAGCTTCTCTGTACAATGTGGAAAGTGCTGCAAGTGGGACTGTGAATCCAAAAAGTGTATATGTTCAAAAGTATAAAAATTGCAACTAAACAAGCACTTTGAAGGGAGTCTGCTAGACCTTCTCCAAAGCACTGCTCATATTTTGCAACAGTAAAGATAATGTTCTAAAAGCCAGAGTTTTACTGGGAGCTGGAGATGTTTATCACAATGGGAGACAAGGAGACACTGGACAAACTGCTCTCCATCATTCATGGACAATAGACGGTAGGGCTGTAGTCAACTTTGGTTGGTTAAAGACAAACTGGTTAAGCTCTCACACAAAAACTATTATGTAAACAGAAGTACTGGTAAACTGCAGCTTGACAAGTGAAAACCCAGACAGACATGCACCAATACCACTTTTTCCATTACGAGTTTGAGCACTGCATTCTGAATACCTACACCAGACCTTTTTTTTTTTTTTTACAATAGTTAAATTTATTCATTTCATAGGATTTTTATAGTACAGCCTACTTTTTCACTGGAATACTTACTTGAGGAGCTGTTTTAGATTTCTACAAAATTCCAATAAAATTTAGATAAGTACCTCAGTATGGACATGCTCTTTTAAAAGCTCTGAACCTTTCTCTTTTCAGTCACTAAATGTGTTTGTGAATTACCATAAGTCACAATGCATGCACAAGCAAAAAATTGCCAGCACCAGCATTTACCCACGTTAGCCTGCTACTATGTAAACATAAGCACTGATGTCTTTTGTGAAATATAAAAACCTGAGAGTAGTAAATACTTTGATAACTCACTTCATGTATTTTCTCAGAAAATCTGTGTAAAATTGAATTAATTGAATAAATAAATAATCAGGAATGACTAAGACTTCATTGACCTTGTCCCTCATGCCCTCTATTGGGACAGATGGGCTTATTCTTCAGCAGGTTCCTATACCTACTCTACTCCCACAGTAAAATATGTTGACATTCATACCATACTCCATGAAACTGTACACAACTCAGCCTTATGTAACAGATAACCTCATGTCAGAGCTTCTCTTTCCATTGTATTTCCTTATACATTTATATCATCTTAGTGTATATGTATTATTTTTACTTCCATTTGGTTTTGTTTTACGTGTACAAATACATCTATATATTTTGTTTTAGTAGATTTTTGCTATTTTTCCTACTAATATTATTTGCAGTATAAAACTATTTAATTTGTTATTTGTTATTAAGAAATCCAATAGTCTTGAATTGGATTTTTGAGCTACTGTGTCCAAGTAATTTCCCTATGGATCAATACTGTTTGTCTAAGAGTATGGAAAGCATAAGTGTCATTGGGCCAGATGACAAACTTGGACAGGATCCTGTAATAGAAACAATGATCTGGATTCACAGCTAGATCACCCCTATTGTAACAGTTTTGCCAATTACTGTAGAGCAAAAGCCCTCTCCACTACGACGCAGACAATGCATTTCCTGATCCAATTACCCCAACATGGTGAGCTCAGGGGGCAACTGGGGGTTAAGGGACATCATGGTCAGCTGCACATGGGTCTGGGTGTGAGGATGGACAAAGAGTCCAATCATTTCTGAAACAAGGATGCTTTCACCTTTAAATCTTTTCCTGCTTAAAGATGTCCCCCTATGAAGTACAAACTACAACCAAGTGGTGTCACACTCTGGGCTGCCACATACACTGATGCACTGAGCAGCTGTTATTATCAATGGGTTGCAAATATTCTGTCTTTAGTGAATATAAATAAGCATATTTCCTGACATTTTAGAATCTATATTTTAAACAGTCCCACTCCTATGATTACCTTGTCATTTGAACCAACTGTGTGTCTGGTTGGAGCTATCACTTATGAGAAAAGACTGGAACTTTTCTGGGGCTCTTAACCTTCAATTCAAAATGTCACTCGTGCTGTTGTCTTTTGTCGAGCTGAGTCTTGCTGTCTTGCTTTTCAAACGCAGCCATGTAATTTTCATAATGTAATATAAATGCTATCTGAGTGCTAGCTTCTGCTGTGTAATTGAAACACTGGGATGCCCTGACACCACATGCACCAGCTGTGCACTGATACCAGAGTGGATACCAGAAATTTGGCTAGCAGGTGTTGTCACATGAATTCACCACAGTTATTCAAGGCTCTTCTTAAATATGCAGCTGCACTGTACATGTGACCAGTGTCACTCGTGGACTAAGATTAGCTGTCTGAATTCAAAGGTGTATTATGCTCAGTTGAGTTTTTGAGCTTCCTACCATGTTTATTTTCACTCATCTAATGCAGGCCAGGAGTTGTGTCATTTAATTTCCACATACCTTGTGGTTCTGCATAGTTGTATGAGATCTATACCACGACAGGAAGCACTGACCAATCAAAAAGCCCCCCTGCCTACTCTAGTTCATTGAGTACAAATGGTGTGCAGCTCTTTTTCCACTCATTCAACTGGCAGTAAATACTGACAGAACAAATCATGTTTATTTTTCTCAAACTGATGGATCGTATTTTTTTTTTATGTGATTTTGTTTAACTAAAAGCAAATACAAATAATTTTTAATATTACTCTACTGGACATAAACTGATAAAAATACAAGCTGCTTGAAAACAACTGAATCTCAAACATTAAAATGTGATTAATTGCGCAGCCCTAATTTTGGTGCCCAGATTGCCTCTGTGTAGGAATTATGGCACTAACACATTTTTCAAGTTGTTACAGACTGCTTTTGTTTTCATGTAGTTGGAGAGCTTCAGTATGTGTGTTAAAATATAGTGCACTCATACAAGCTTATACTAAAAACTAAAACACATTTATGAACAGAAAATCAACATTTTGCCACACGTTCAAAGCTTGGTCTGGTGTCCCCTCAGACAGCATGTGTCTCTGTTCTTGGCAGGGTTCGACTGGAGGCCTTCTCTGACAATAGCGGGAAGCTGCAGCTCTCGCTCCAGGAGATCATCGAATGGCTGACGGCCAAAGACGAGGAACTGTCAGAGCAGCTGCCCATAGGTGGCGATGTGGGCGCTGTACAGCACCAAAGGGAGTTCCACCAGGTACGTGCTGGGTCCACATCTTGTATGCAGCTCACTCCACACCTCCAGGGAGCAACAATTAGTACAGAATCAGGCACACGCCGCTCGGCACCTGCTCACATTGATTAAGGGCTCTTTGCTCAGCTCAGGGGAGTACAGGAGCTTCTATTTAATGCTCATCTACATACTGTATGAGACCCCACAGGAGACTGAAACCATTATTTATGTGGCATGTTTCATAAGTGAACTGAAATACCCCCAACTGCCTTAGCTCCTGTTTTAAACTTAAATATCTGACCAGACCATGACCGCTTCTTTCTAGTCCTGCATAGGCAGTTTTAGTCATGGACAATGTAAACCCCAAAACTATTTCAGCGTTTTATCTGAGCTGTTTGAGTTTTGGGGCACTATACTTAACACTATGAATAATGCACACACATTGTTCTCTTTGGTGGAATATTATGATAATGTGGTCTCTGAGCGTGGCTCAAAGTGAAAGGCCATTGGGGACAAGAGTTGCTGACAGTGTAGTCTGCGTAGCTCTGCTCTTGCTTCAGATAATTCTCGTAATGCTTCAGTGACTCAGACTGGCCTTGAGATCTATTCAAGGGCTCGAGGAGTGAAGGACACACCGACTCACCATATCAGGCTTTATTGATCACAGCACCTCATCTACTGTCCAGTAACATGTACAAAATAATAGTGCCTTTTAAATTCACAAAGAAGGAAATGTTTAAAAGTATTGCCATGGGCCAGTAATTTTAATTTTGTATGCATACTTTAGTTAATTCTCTTAACTACCTAACATGCCTTTGTGCAGAAAGCTTTTTGTTGTTCGAATTGGAATGAGCGAGAGAAATACAAAGAGAGATGTAAGGGGCATGGTGTAATCGTTATTCATGCATCTAATGAAGCCATAGCTGCCCTGGGGTAGAATGACTTAAGCGATGCTGCCAGTCTGTGCCATCGACCCCTGTAGCCTCCAGGTTATGTATCAAGAAGGGCATATCATTCTCATAAATCAAGAATGGATGCAGATGTGACCTGCTTAGAGCTAATGCAGTGGACAAGCAGAGTAATAGTGATATTCATAACATAAACCAAACCAGGAAAAGGTCTCTTTAGAAACTAAGTAGAAGTTGCTCATAGATCAAGGTTAAGCACACTAGCATCTTGCGCCCTGTCATTTTTCCTTTTAAAGGTCCATCACTTGCCATGGAGATGTTATTGCTTTGCCTGGAATTAATGTAATAATCTCTCATTTGTTCAGCAGAAAAGGAATTATTGGTAGTCTTCTGGACAATGTTTTTGACATCAAGACTGTTGAGCTGCCATTCGGATGGATGCTGCTTAACTAAGTTTTACATAACATCCAACTTTAAAACACCCAAGAGGAGAATTTATTCAGAAATCAGTTGTCATCCAGCAAGTCTGCTATGAGGATTTGAGAAATGATTAGAGTTAATTAAGGGTCCTTTGTATTTATGAAACTAGTCAGTGTTGTCCATTTGGGGCATGATAAAATCCAGCGTATGTTCTATGAGGCAGAATCTGATTTGACGGCAGCTTTAGGCTTCTGTGAGATTTGGCACTAATGAGAGATTTACTAGATCACCAAGGCACAAAATGTATCACTCTGACAGTTAGCATCAGGCCTGGGCTTATTAACATGTTTCCTTTTTGGTATAAATGCGTACATGTGAGGAAATATGATTAAATGTAGACAAGAAGAAAAAACCAAATTTTTTGCCTTCTGACCTGAGCTAAATAGTTTAATGATTTATAGGATCTTTTTATATGATTCATCACTTAGCTGCATATTTGCCTGCTGTTGTTATAGAGACTGTACCCATTTTTAAAATTTAATAAGGCCCCATTTGTTTTCCCCGGAACAGAAATAGTCTAAAAGCCACTCTTAAGGTGGTCAGCCATTCTTATTTCACCATTCTTCTTGGTAATTTTTTCTTGTGTTGAGCTGGTGTGTGTTGCGTTTTCATTCTTTGGTTTGACATTTTCCATCAACAAGCCTCATATAGAAAATTGCAGCCTTACTTAGTCCATATGTTATGGTGAGTGTTATGCCATGATTATCCCATTTGTTGCTTTAAAGAATTTTACAAAGGGTCAGAGTTTTTCTACTCCACATAAGAAAGCTAAAACGCGTCTTATAGTCTGGCAGTAAAAGACTGGATTACTGCTTAGAAGAAAATAGCTTCTCAGATATTTCAAACCAAAAGACAGGCCTATAGCAATTCTTCCTATTAAATCTAAAATCCCACCTTTATGTGTTCTCTTAAAAGATGTCTGTGGTGCTTGGTATCTTACACTGAAGTAACACCTAAATGCGTAATTGCTTCACAGCCAACTTTCTCTTCTTTTCTCTATAGTTTTCTTATCTGAAAGTTCATATCCATAAAAAAACAGCCTGTATTGGGACTACATGTTATTTTTTTTCTGCTTTGCCCTCCTCCAACTGCTACAAAAAAGTCCTATGTGTGAAATCAGTCCAATTAAAGATACAACTATAGCAGTCACACTTGATCTACCCTGTGTTCCCTATACACCACACTTTTTCTTTTTTTTTTTTACCAAATCCTACACGATGGTTCTTTACAAGCTATTTAATATCACCTCTCGTCTCTTATGCCTGCTGTTCCATTTTTAGCATGGCATTGCTTTATAATCTGCCTCTCCACCTCCCCAGTGTACGGCCTCTCTAAAACTTCCACCAACAAAGCAGATGGGAAAATTGCATCTTAGTTTTCTATAGAGAATTAGAACGTTTTAAGAAATGTGAATAATTGATCGTAAGTGGATTTATTCTGATGTCATTTTTGCAGTTTGAGATGAGTGGGGGCTGGCTGCTGCAGTCTGTGTGGTTTTGGAGGATGCGTTAAAGGAGGTGATAGGGAGCTTTTTGCAGAGAGGAAGGAGAGTGAGCAGTGGATGGGATTTGGTGTGACTGTAGAACTCACATGTGGGGAAAAACTGAAATGAAAACAAATCCCGCTGGGAGGGAAATAAAATAAATAAAAATTCAAAGAAGAATTTTTTAAAAATCTGGGCCACTCTCAGTAAAATTCTTTCATACACCTCGGTTGGTGTTGTGAGCTCACACTTCACTACAAGTAAAACTGAGAGCGATATTATTAATATATCTGAAAATGGGTGAAGCCATGCACAGTAAACGCTGCAACAGAGTTATACCCTTAAGCCCCATCACAGAATATTCAGCTCTCACGGTACAAGCATGATTTGTAGTGAATGAATTAATTGAGGACTAATGAAGGACAAAACCAGGTCTATTGAATAATAATAGAAACTCAATCTCCAAAAGACTCCTGAGTTCAACTGCGCCTGTGTATCCCCTTATCACAGCTTCAGAAACCATTGCCCAACAGAAAAAAATGGTTTAGACCAGCCAGTGTGATTAATTTGCTGTGATGACCCCCTGTGCTTGTATCCCCTATAGGGCTCATCAGGCAGCTATGCACTTTAATTCTTGTATTTTGCATTACTTATGCCCAAGTGTGTGTGTGTGTGTGTGTGTGCCTGTGTTTTCATGTGTATGAATGTCTGCTACTCTGTGTGCCTCTTAATTGCCCTTTGGGGGGGCGAATAAAGTTATTTGAATTGAATTGACCACAAATGCAAAAAAACAAAAGGCACAGATGATAGAGTTAGCAGGTCACATTAACATAAAGCTAATTGCTCGGGTCATTATATCCAAGTCATATTAAGCCAACGATGTCACCTCCTCCTGCTGACTTCTTCTATTCCACACACAAAACATATCTTAATCTGATCTGAAGGCCTCTGCTTTTAATGTCCCTTCACCCAAAGCCCCTGCCTTGTGAGTGTGAAATTTAGCTGGAATTAAAGTTTTAACATGACAGCTGGCTCAGGAAATCCACAGCTCAGCTCCTCTTTGGGCAGAGAAGCTCCTAAAGAGGGATGGAGAGAATAAAGAAGAGAGAGAGAGAGGATGAGAGGTTGGGAGAAAGGCAGGTTTTCTTCTGGAAATTTAGCGCTGGAAAAATGTTACACTCGTTTAGCATGTTTGTTTTGTGCTGTGAGCTGCTGTCTCACTGGGGGCCCCCTGTGTGACTCTGCCTGCTGGGTGCTATCAGGTCTGCCCAGCTCCAGTCCTGGTGTTTAACATGCACCAAAACACTGTTTCCGTGGTAACACATCGACAGGACACAAGTCAGCTAATTCCAGCCATAATGTAGACTCAAGTCAGAATCTGTAATCTCTTTATAGCATAAGAGGATTGACTTCCTAAATAAATGACTTTGAGCAATGGAGAGATCTGTGGTATTACACCTCCTGTGTTATTATGCATGACAAAGACGATTATTTTCAAATGAATGAAATACAAGAGATACGCTCAAAGATATTGGTAGAGTAATGAGACATGCCTTGTTTAATATCAATACCTGAGACACTAACTTTTATCCCAATGGCTTCTGACTTTTTAATCACTCAGACTTAAAATGGGACCATGGCGTCTATCATTGCCTGTTTCATCCCCCCTGTTGTGTGGTCTCTGGGGAAGTGAAAAATGCTCTGATTGTGAGTGTGCCCAATTCCTGATCTCGCCTCTATAGTGTGGCTAGCCTGATCGACCTGTCAGGTTCGGTAGGCCAGCCACACCTGCAAGGGACAGCTGATAAGAGACGCATCACGGTGGCCTATTTGGGTCACGCTTCTCACAAAGGAGGCAGACGAAACATGTCAGAGTAAAGCTAACATTCAAAACTGTGACAATGAAAATGTTCTCCTCCTTAAAGTCAAAAGACACAATAATCATTTGGTAGTGACTCAGATTCAGACACAGTCTCTCTTTTGATGACCTCAGAGAGGATTTCATAATTTTGAAAAAAATAAATAATAATAATAAGAAGAAGAATAATTGTGATTTAAATTTTTTTTGGTAATTGAATGTTTAAAAATAGGATTCTGTTCTGTTCTGTGTATTTGAGAGAAGACTGAAATATGAACTTCAAAACTAATACAAGAATCCCATTCATTTCAGAACATGTTCATATTGGTCTTAAAACTGAAGAGTTAGCAGTTATTTTCTAATAGAAGAATTAATATTTTGTTGTTTACAGTGGACTTTCTATTTCCTAAATAATTGCAGTCTTTGTGATTTGATAATGCACCTACTCACTTTGTAATTTCAATACGATTGTCATATATTGTGCTTTCCCACCTTGACTCAAATAAGTTTTATAGACGCTTGGACATGGACATTGGTAACTCTACTATTACAGAGGTCAGGTACAGTACGATTCATTGTTCATAATGATTCTTTTCACCTTTGTTTTGCTTTATTGTACTCCACAGTGGAAGAACTGGGCTGTAGCAGTATCCTACAGTAAAAATGATTGATCTAGTGTCTGTATACACTACATCTCTACTGCACTACACATGGTCTATATGATTTACACATAGGGAGCTGTGTTCACCAAGCTCCTCTGCTGCTTTGTCTCCTGTTAATTGGACCGCCTTTGAGCACAGACCGGCCGACCATCACACCCTGTAGATTTGTCTTTGTGTTGCGCTCTGGGCTCTTAACTCAGCCATAGAAATCCCTGTGTTACATCCTGGTTCTGTACGCTCTGTCAGAGATCTATAGGTGGCCTGTGTATTGAAATGAACCAGCTTTGAACTCTAGTATGTGGGTGTTCTTCCCTTCTTATGCCTCTGCTGCTTCCTATCAATTTGACTGTCAATTTAGGCATGATTCTGTCTCACGAGAATGTTAGTTGAAGCAAAATGTGACTTGACGGCAGCTCCAAGCTCCAGATAGTGTTTTAATGAGAGTTTCATTGAGGTCACAGAAAGACAATTTGTGCCACTCTCACACAAAAACGCATAATCAAATATTCTCACATTTTTACTTTAATCATTTGAACACTTTGTAACTATTAGCTGTAATTAACCACTTTGACATTCCTTTAAATATTGGCCTGCTCCAGTTTAATGCTTGTAAACCCCTGGACCCCTCTCACCGTGAAACGACAACCATGGCGACCTCTATTTTTCATAAACCAATACCAGCAGGTATCCTCTGATTAATGAGCCTGCTCCACTCATTCCCATTTGTTCTTATCGCGCATTAATCTTTCAATTATCTTTCCAATTACACTAATAGTTTGGGGTTCAGCGCCAGAAAAGAAGGTAAACTGGTCACATATAATTTTAATTGCACAGTGTGACATTTTGCAAGAATTTTGTAATCATATAAATTATACTTTGACTAATGGCATAGATTTAATCTGGCACTATTTTCAATGCAGTTAACGTTTATGAACACTCTCTTGTGTTTTGCTCAGTGTAAGCAGTGCATATATTCAGACTTGTTTATTAATGAAGCAGCTGGTAGCCTCCAGGACACTGTTTGCTCTTGTTGTCACTGCTGTTCTGAAGTTTGCCTCTGTGTCTGCCAGGCCTTTATGGAGGATGTGAAGTCCCGCGGGCCCTTCATCTACTCAGTACTGGAGTCCGCCCAGGCCTTTCTGGCCCAGCACCCGTTCCAGGAGCCTGAGGAGAGCCTGAGCGATGGAAAAGGTCTGCACCCCTCACTGTCCAGCCAACCGCTGCTCCAGCCAAAATATCAGAGTCCTCTCCGCTGTGGAGAAGTGATCCAGTGCTCTCACTCACAGCCCTCATGCAGGTGACCTGCTCTATTAGTACTTATTACAGCGGTGCTACACTGGGAGCAGGAAGTGCCCGAGTCGGGTCCAATTAAGTGAAGTTCACCCACTCCTCAGCACCATCTGTTTAGATCAATAATAAAAAGAGCAGTGTGTCTTCCACCCACATCTCTGCTGTGGTCCAGCACTCTCATCTGGAGACTACTGCAGCCCTGTTTGACTCTCTTGCCCTGTCTTTTACTCATTTATTTTCAATGAGTAAGTATATTTTCATCTGTCTTCAACAGAAGTGTCTCCGAGGCGACGCATTCTCAATGTGAGTCGATCTGTATGGAAGCAGGCGAACGTAGCCAGTGACCTGTGGGAGAAGCTGACAGCACGCTGTGTAGACCGTCACAGGTCAGACATGCTAACCATTTTTCATTGTCTTTCATAGAAGACATTCATCAGTAGCACTGCTGTACATAGCTTTGTGGTCTCCTATGCAACAGGCTTCTTGGAGCCCTTAGCTTGCCAAAAATGAGAGATTGCTTATCTCAGGTTATGCACACCATGCAAATACCTGTATTTAGTCATTGTACTGGTGATATGGGTTATATTTTTGTAGACTAAAAGTATACTTTACATTAACATAATGTTAATGTGTCATAAAAATAAAATAAATCATTATAAGCGTATACAGTACTGCACTAAGTAACACTAAGCAATTTATATTCACCTTATTATAGCTGGTGGGGTCTTATGAATTTGTACACTGCACCTATGGCAGGCCACTGATCAGGAGTCAGGCTGCCATAACAAGGATGAGGCTGGAGGCATTTTGATTAAATTAAGAGTGTAGATATTTTTTATTTAGAGTACATATTTTTAATGACCTTTCCCAGTGCAGATTTCCATTATACTTCCATAAACAATCATTCATCTATTCTAGAAAAAAACATACTCTGTTGCAGACACATGGAGCGTACATTGGAGCGATTACTACAGATCCAAGCTGCCATGGAGGAGCTGGCTGTAGCATTGGACCAGGCTGAGGGGGTCCGGGATGCATGGGAGCCTGTTGGAGACCTCTTCATTGACTCCCTCCAGGACCATATAGATGCCACCAAGGTGCAATATCCTGTATTTCATTGCTGATTTCTTTTATGATTCAGTATGTGCTGTGAGCTGAATTTGAAAACACCACAACACACCATCAGCTTACAACAAAAAAGTGGCATTCAAAATCACAGATGAATATTTAATAGAACTTGTGTGTTTGTTTTGCTAACTTCAATATACAGGGCATTCATATTTGATGTGACATACTTTGACAAGACGCTTCAGTCCGACACAGTGAAAGGCAGACTCAGTGAATAGATACTGCTGAACAAATGGCAGGTCAATGGTGCAGTCATTATGGAGTGCAATGTTGCTGCTCTATATAATTGTACAGCATGTCTCATTCATTATAGGACTGAGGGCTCTTCACTATAATCATGTCAGTGTTTAGACTCCTGTCACCACCAGCACATGTTCCAGCAGCTCTGAGGGCCTGCCCTGTCACTTGTCCTCATGTATCCCACATGTCCAGACAGAGGAATGCTGACAGAAATCTGATAACAAGACGCACAGAAACTACTCAACCAGTACAGGGCAAATAGAATCGAATTTAAGCAAACGCAGTTACAGCTGACTTATTAACTTCAATGGCAGCACATTTTTTTATTGTCTCTAAAGCAGTTTTACAGAAATCTGAAATCCTTAGATTAAAGAACCTACACAAAATTGATTCTTGTGGGCTTTTACTCATTGTTACTTCATCATAAACATACCTGGTGTTTTATTTGTTTTTCTTTCACAAATCTTTGATTCTTAATCTTTTATTATTAGTCTGTCTACATCTCCAAAGCTGAAAATGCTCGGTTCCACCTTGTGATATCATGAAGTGGTAGTTTTCAAGTTAACAGCTACCTTTTACCTTTAGTTCAGAAGAGATTGGTAATTTTAAGTCTGATGTAATTTAAATGATTATTGTGAAGATGTATGGAGTTTAAAAACACAGTGGAACCTTTCCCGTATTACCACATGACAGTGTTTTCCATTTGATAGAAGAACTCAGCCTATATATGCAGGATTTGTGTGTTAAACAAAACACAACTCCAGGTAGGTTTTTGAAGAGGAAACAAAATTATAACATGGATTAGAAAAACGTAATATGGGCCCTTTAATGTTTAAAATATTCCCAAATTGGGGTAAACTTAGTACTGCTTCCTGTGTGGTTTTCAATTACAAAAATAATTGTATTGGATAGCAATTTTCAATAATTGAATTTTCATCAATGTGTTGGACTTTTTATGTTAATATTGACTTGAATGAAAATAGGATGGCTCCAATATAACATACAATTATATATATATTACTATATATTTTTCATGTGTTCCCACAAGTCAAGAAGTCTTCTTGTCACAAATGCATCCTTAAAATCAAGCTAATGGCACTTTAATAATAAACACAGCAGGTTGATTATTTTTCTGTACTCATAACCTTTAAACACAAAGTCCATTATAATACGCTTTTCATTTCACTTTGGCTCAGGAAGTGAATACATGGTTGCTGCCAATTTACCCCTAAAACAGAACTGACAACTATAATGAATCACGTTTCTATTGATTCTGTAGATAATTAAATTCTTTGGCATTTGTCCAAAGTGAATGTTTTGTGGTTTTTGTATTTTAATATTTATTTTTTTTACATTTACTATCCTGCGTGTTGCTCCACTGTTTTCTTCCTCTTATGGTGCAGTTGTTCAAGGAGGAGCTAACGCAGGTGAAGGAGGGCATGAAGCACGTCAATGACCTGGCACACCAGCTGGCCATTTCCGATGTTCATTTGTCCATGGAAAACGCACGCGCCCTAGAGCATCTCAACAGCAGGTGGAAAGTGCTTCAGGTATAGTCTACAGATATCTCTCTGTTCGGCTGCAAGGGTCTCCAAACTGTTAGTATGGATGAAAAAAAGAAATGAAGGATTGACTGATGGCTATTTTGCCTCCTCACCTTTTCTGTAGTGACATCATGTTGGGGGTATTCTCCATGTATTTCTAATGGTAAAATGTTACCGTAGTGACACAATACACACATTAGCACATTAGCCATATCAGCCAAAAAAGTTTTTGTCTGAAATTTCTAGAAAAAAAATAATTGATTTAAACAACATATTTTCAGGAGCCTGTGATCAATGCGAGCATTCATGGTCCTGTTTAGGTGTTTGACGGCTGGTTGTAGTTCCAACTAAGTCAATTCTTTTGTGTCAGATTGTGTTAAAATAAAGCTCTGAAAGTTTAATAAAGCCTCAGACAGTGTAGACACTACAGTTAGCATCATACCTCCAGGGAATGTTGATGAAATCAGCTCCAATATATTATTAGGCTTGTTTTTTACTCTCACAAACGTCGCGCCAAAATGCTTGTAAATTAACTTGTATGTATGTGTTGTATGTGATTTTAGTTCATAATATGAAGTTTGACCACTTAAAACTTGGGCAGATTTAGCTGGAGTTTTAACTACTGGAGTGATGTTAGAGGAACACTGTGCACAAATGTTGATACAAACAAAAAATGGACAACTTGTTTTTGTACCTACTGCAGATGTCTAAAATCCACAGCCATACTGTTTTATAATTTTTATTTTTATATAGTACTGGCATACATCATCTCCTCAAAACCTGGAGCAAACTTTTCTAATCTACATTTAATCAAAAGTGTTACAAAACTAAATTATATTAGGTCTTCTGTTCAGGTTAATTTTGACCATGTAGAAGTAATTGTTTGAAATAATCCATCAATATCAGTTATGAGCTAAATAATAGTGACTATGACTTTTGCCCTAATCGAGACACCGTTTGTATTGTAAATATATTCAAAATATTTGTTTAGGTCACTATGAAAAATTAATATCTCATTTCTTTCTTTTGCAAGAGGCGGCAAATAGTAAAATTGTGCAGATAAAATACTTTCTCCTCTTCTGGGTTATACTGAAATGAAAATAAAATAGTCATATTTGTAATTGCATAAAAAGCTGGCTTGTGGACCACTGACGTCTAAAGTAGGTTATAGCAGACATCAAATATATAGTGAAGGCACAGAGGGCCAACTCTTCAGACCATCACATATTTCAGTCACTGAGCGATCCTTCTTGGTGGACTAATATAATCTTTATCCTGACATTTAACAGACAGAGCGACTCAATCAACTTAACTCAATCATGGAGGAGGTAGTGGGGATATGTCTGCCATAACTTTCACCTCACTTAAAGTCAGATACAAAGCACCACTGCTCAAATCTATTTCTGTCACAATCAAATATGCCTTTCCCTTTGCATTAACTGCATCACGTACTTCAGTTGTGACTGTCCTTAGCCAATGTTGATAAAATATTAGGACCATAGCGATTAACACTTTAAAACAAAATATTATATCTGTAATGGGAAAAAGTCTTCAAAATGGGCATATAACAGAAAGTTCAGCCCCATTAATTCCTAACCTAGCTCACGCCAGATTGATATATGTGGCCCTATGATAGTTCTGCATATCAGTCTGAGGTGGCTCTCGCTAAAAGCATTTGGAAACAATGATTGGAGCATCGAAACAAAAACTTCACATTGACTGGTGGAAAATTCACAGTAGTGGAACAAGACGAAAAATAAAACTTTAATTACTCAATCGAGTTGAGAGAAATGGACATGTGGCTTACCTGTCAAACAAACTTGTCTGTATTTCTGCTAAAATATTCTGAAGAGACACATAATGATGATTAAAATATGCACTTTATTTATTGAGTGGTGATTTTTCACATGAAGGCAAATTTTACTCGGTTTCAAGATTTCAGTTTCGGTTTCTGTGCATGTTCTGTTGTATGTATGTTATGGGAGTAGACTGAAATGAGCAAACACATTATATTACAGTGTCTAATTTTAGTTCTAGGCTTTTCTCTTTCAGCAGCCTCTGTAGTGCTCAAATGCTACAAATACTCACCCTCAGCTTTCACACAGTCTGCATTCACATGTCACTTTACAAACAGCATTGCATGGGCAAGCTTCGCTGGCTCTGATGTCGATTCTATGGTTCCTGTCTGTCGTGCCTTCTGTAATAATATAACACCATGACATTGTAAACCATGGAAAATATGTAACTCTGTTTGTTCAGATTATAGTTACATTACATTATATTCAAGGCTCAGTTTTTTGGTTTAAACATAATTTTGAAATTGTTTGAGCTCAAGTCACTAAACTATTTTGTGTCAAAGCTGAAGAATAACAACAACAAAAATGCGACCATTGTATTGTATCGGTGGACTGAATACAGCGCTGTGGTGTAAGGATTTCATTGTTGTGAACCTTGTTTTTCTGATCTCTAACAAATCAAATCAGTCTGGTGTGTCCTCCAAGTGAATCTAATGGATTGTTTGGCATCTCCTCGCACTATTGTCAATACTTCTTTTGAAACCTCACTATAATTGACATACTCAGAAGAAGCCACCTTTATTTTGATTTCTTATGTTGGTCCATATTACGGCAGAGGACTATGTTCAAAGCATGTTTTCATCTGGATTCTGAAAAGGATAGTATTTTTCAACATGGACACTTGATGCTTTAAGGCCAGGTGATGCTCAGTGTGTGTCTGCTTTAATAACACCATTCATTTAGTTTATTTTTGTTCCTGTATCTTTTTCGTTAATAGTTCTTCTGTTTAATCCTCCTGGGCCTTGTATGTTTTGTGATGACTCATTGGCCATTTCTAAACCCCAGCCACAAATGAATAAAATTGGCTGTACTTGTCCATATGGCCTTGCTGCAGAGAGATATGACGTGGGTCTTTGATTGCAACCTCTGATCATGTTCTCTGCTTTTGATTATTGTACAGCTGTTTGCACATGGCTCAAATGGGCTTTTATTCATTAGTATAGCTCTTGTGCTCCTAGAAATTAAAGTTTAGAGAAATTTATTTTAGCTGCATGGTAAGCCATTATTATTTCTTTTCATATGAAATCAAAGCCAAGTCCAAAAACCTTTCTATTTGTGCGCAGACGTTGTTTGTTTCATAATTAAAATGATAAATGTAAATCCCAGAAATGTCGTCTGCTCTGTTGATTCCAGGCTCCCCTCACTATTATGAGAACATATTTCTAAATTTGATTTGGTAATATTTGTCAACTGAGGATAATTCAGTCATTAGTCTTCCTTATGGCAGCTTTGGACGCTTGTACAACAAATAGATTGTGCTACAGTCCTCCCTGGCACAATTACAACGTTCTAAATTAATACAAATCAATTAAATCACACTTTTATTTTGGGGAATTAGCCAGTGAGGTGTGAGAAGTGTAATGAGGCTAACTTTGGATGCTCATTGCTGGTCCTAATGAAATCTTAACCTATCCCAACCTACCTGTGTGTAGCATTTACCAGTCCTTTTGAAGATACTCTTCCATTATACTGGTCAGTGGTGTCAAAGTATTTTTACAGTCAGTTCTGCAACACAAACACCATATGCAGAAACTGAACAGCCATTAATGCAGATGACACCGTCAATTGCATAAAGTGCAATACATTAACGTGACTAAAGCTGGACTGATATGTGTCGCACTCTGAATCGAGTTCTACACATTTATCAATCTGGAATGGCCCCCATCAATATTGCTTGGGAAGAGGAGACACTCTCACAGCAGCCCGTCAATCTAAATGAATATGTAGCATCATAACATGTTTCTAACACCTTTTTTGTTGGAAAATAACGTCTGTGCTTTCAGATCAGCTTGGAGTTGTAGAAGTTGAAAACTCAAACATTGCAAAGATAGCATTAAAGGTTGTATGGAGGATTTTTTTTTTGTTTCAAATTGTCAGTGATAGCATTATAGAGATGCAGTAGCCTTGTAATTATGACCAAAAAAAGAGAATAAAAATTAATCAACTCTGGACGTGGTGGGGCCAGCTAAACATTTGCAAATAAATAACGAGACTGCCTCGTTATCTGTTAGCTGATCAAGTTGGCTGTCAGTCAAACTCCGTACGTTTCTAGCATAAGTGACTTGCCTGCGCGCTGCCATTACGTGGTTTACGCAGTCCACAGATGCACAGTTGCTGTTTACTCCACCAACGCAACAGTTCTTAGCGGCTTTTTTGACCTATATCTTCCTCGCAGTTAGCACAAAGTTTGTTGCAATGGCAGACAAGAATCCAGAAGCAGTTAGCCGCAAAAGAAAGTCCGTTTTTGAGGTCGCTGAAAGAAGAAGACAAGGGGAAAAGCAGCGACGCCAAACTAAGGTGATTCTTGGAGATTCATTCCAGCGATGGCGCGACTGAAGCAGACGCAGGGTCTAAAGACTGACGCATTGGTCGCCAAATTACTCCTGGACAGGTCACTTCTGCTTATTATGAAAACTTACTTTATTTCCAAGAGCTAGACAAACGTTTTTCAGGACACGAATGCGATATCCTAAGTCTGAAAACGTAATTTTCAATGCAAAGAAAGAGTCCGCTTGCTGCTGCGTGTTGTAGTAGTAACTTAATTTGCACGGAATCACCCCTCTCTGCACCCCTTACTGCTCCTCTCCCCGCTCCCTGCTCCGCTCTTCTCCCTGCTCCTCACTTCTTCTCTGCGCACGAAATGTCCGCGCACCCCCTCTCCCCTTAGTTGTTTACAAGTCATGTGAAGCGATGAGTACTTGTTTTCTAGAAACAAACCTATTTCGGGCGTAAGGAGGAGGCAGGAGGAGGCATTTCTACGTAGGGAGCTGTGGGGGAGGGGGGGTTTCACGCATGCGCAACATTTGAAAAAGGACAAACAGTCGCTGGATTTCTCGTTCCTTGGAAAATCCTCTGTACAACCTTTAATGAAAAATATTAAAATAATCACAAACCCATGGAGCACTAGTGTATGCTGTATTTACTGAGGGAAATAGCATTGGCATTTTTTAAAGTGCTATGATATCAGCTTTGTAGGAGCATGATGTCACTTCTTGTGAGGGCCATTCAGTTAATTCACTGTCACTGTATGTTTAATGATGCACCCACAACCTTAACAGCTCAGTGTCCTTATTTGAACTGAATGCTTGACTTTGTATTAACTTAGTCTCTGCTTCCTCATCACTGTTCTTCAAAGGCATTCTGAGTCCTGCGGTGGGGCTGTAGAGGGAAATGGCACATCATTTATATTCTGCGCTTAAGTAATAGAGAGGAAGCAGGTGGTCGTAGGTCTGCCTGACTCCATTGTGGGGTCTGGTGATGGAGCGCGCTAATGGCACCACTCCTTTTGATTTAACCCTGCGTGTGTCTTTTCAGGGATCCATTGAGGAGCGACTGAAGCAGCTCCAGGACGCACACCGAGACTTTGGGCCCGGATCGCAGCACTTCCTCTCCAGTAAGAACGTTCTTCTTTTGCCAGTTTGAAGTCTACGCCCTTGTGTTGCCCCAATCTGTACCACGCTGTGCCAAAGCGCCGGCTCCCAATGTATTTATAAAAAGGTCTATAGAAGTTGACTTGTGAGTGACTGTGTGAGTTACAGATGGAGTTTGTGTGTTTTTGTCATCACTGATGTTTAAAAAAGTTGGGATATTGAATACTGAACAACAATACAGCAGGTGTTGAGTTGTGTTGCAATAAAAAAATATATTTGTAAGTGTCACAAATAGAAGATCAAGTATAAATATAGGATTTGTTTGTAACACTTTATAATAAACTAACATATAAATAGTGTTATTATTATAAAGTGTTAATGATTTGTTTATATATCACTATTCTTCCACTGTTTTGAATCTGTCATGGTGGACACTCTCTCCTATGAGCAGCTCGACATGTGCCTTGTTTTCCTTGTTGTACCTGCTGCTCTTCAAAGGCTACACAGAAGGGAGCAGGCAGCACACAAATGTGATTTAGCCAGGCCGCTTTATACTGATTAAGCAGTGTTTGTGTCCTCGGTAGCCCCATTGCATTTTACTGTTGTCATGCTGGCTCCAAGGGGCCACAGTGGAGCTTAGACAGTCAAAGTGTAGAGCCAGCTCAGACTAGTGCTCCCCGAAGGAGCGTCTGGCTTTGGCTTTGTTTTTCTCTCAGCCTGCTTGTTTTATGGAGCTGAAGCACTAATGCATAAACACACACTGTCAGCTTTTACGTTCACATACACCTTCTGTGCCCTGTCCAATTTATTTCAGACCAGCACAATACCACCTCCCTCTCTCAGCAGTAGTTATTGATTACTGGTTAGCATCTAATATTGGCTGTCTCATGTACTTTTGTTAAGTCTACCCAGGGATGTTTGAGGCAGTATGGCACATAGCACATAGTAGTGGGTGTGGACCATGTAGTCTTAAATATTATTAACATTATATTTTGACAATCACAAAATATTTTTGTGTTTCAAGATTTCAAAGAAAAAAAAAAACTTCTTCTTTTTACAGTTTGCCCTTGAAGTGTTAGACCTTTCTCCAAACTCTATGCATAACTTATCAAACAGTACTTGGAACAGCCTTTATAGTGCACTGGAACCTCATAATACTGATGATGTGCAGTATGCCCTCTTTAATGCTGTATTGAGTCCCCATCACTGCAGTCTGCCCCCCCTCCTTCCTCTCTCCCTACCTTACTCTTCCTCCATTATCCTCCCTCCCTTACCCTTCCTCCCTTACCCTCCTGTACTGTATCAGTCCAAGCCAAACAGCCTCAGACTCTGCAGCGGGCCCTCACAATAGAGCTGTTCTTCGGGCTTTCTGTGCCTGTTGTAGCGCTGTTAAGAGGCTCTGAATGGACCTGCTATCTGGACAATGTGTCAGGGACCTGGCGCACAAAGGCCTTTCTTGCCAGACATGCTTATTTTGATCCAATATCTTGGTGTTTGTGTGTAGGTTCAGTGCAGATACCATGGGAGCGTGCCATCTCACCCAACAAAGTGCCCTATTACATCAAGTAAGTATTAAAAAGCAAAACTCTATAAAGTCTATAAACATAAAATCAAAAAATGATTAGTAGGCTATTTCTCAAAATAAAATTACAAACTTGATTTCACTACTAAGGAATATAACTGATACACACCACCATGATAATAAAACAGTTTATACAGTATAACTGTACTGTAACAACAAAAATAGTATTTTTTATGTTTATTATTGTTATCTAAAGGGCCCATATTTTGCTATTTTCTGATCTTTGTTATAATGTTACCTCATCACAAACATACCTGGAGTTGTATTTAATTTCATTCACACATATTTAATGTATAAATCCTGCAAATTTAGGTAAGTTCTTCTCTCACACAGAAAATACTTTCTTTCATCTTATGTCATGTGGTAATACAGGAAGCGCTTCACTTTGTTTTTAAACTCCATACATTTTCTGTAGAATAATTTGGATAATTTCAGCCCTGGAATTGCCAATCTCTTCTAAACAAAAGGAAAACTATCACTATATGACATCACAAGGTGGAAAAGTGCATTATGAGCTTTGGAGATGTAGACTGACTAATAATAAAATATTACTAAAACGTGTGAATCAAACAAAACATTTGGTATGTTTTTGATAAGGTAACAACTAGGGATGTAACAATATCCAAATCTCTCGTTATGATATTTTCATGATAAACATCTCATGGTACAATTTTTATTGTGATACTTTGTGGAGGCTAATAAACTGGTAATATGTGATGTTTTCCTCTTAAAAATCCTTGACAAGACTTATTCTAAAGAACTAAAACTTAAAAATGCTTAGAACTGTTATTTCTTCATGTAGTTTGCACTGAAAAGGATCATGGTCTATGTAGTTCTCTCTTTTTTTAGCTATTGCGGCACCATAAGTCTTAATTTAAGCAAAGATACTTGCAATTTGATTTATTGTGATGGTCCACGATATTATTGTGAGAACTTTGACGATATAATATCATGATATTTCGGTAATTGTTATTGTTACAACATTATAACATGGTTTAAAGTTTACAAGAGTCATTTTTGTGTAACATAGGATCTTTAAATCAAGACTATTCTATAACTACTCAGGGAAGATGTTCATATGTCCTTTTTTATTTTTGTCATAAACACATCAAGTTTTAATACTAGTTTCTGTGTTTCTCTATTGGGCTGAACAGAAAAGAAAATACTGGGATTGGTAAAGGACAAACAATTAGAAAACCTTGTTGCTGCCCTATCATTCTGTTACCTGATCTTAGCCACTTTATGCCTACCTTTAATAAATTATTTGTAATTCATTATTTTTACATTCCTGCTTGTGAGATCATGATCATTCAGCTCCCTTAATCACCTGTAAATGAATCTGATTAATCATGTTTGAATGTTTCAGCCCTATTAGATTACATACCCCTCACGGTGGCAGTAGTAACTTAACTGCTCACCCTTTTTGAAGGCCACACGGTTTTGTTATTTTTTTTTTTTTTTTTTTCTTCATATTTGTGCTTTCCAAAACACTTGATGCAGTAATTGAACAAACAACTTCTGTAAGCTTTCCTTTTTGTGCGCGGGTGTTTCATGTTCAGTTTAGGCTTTGAAATTGTTGACAGGCAGGATACCCCACGGACCACTACTGCGGGGACTTTAAAAACCTTTGTACATTTTGACAAACAGCCAATTAAAGGCTCAAGTATTTTAGAAATGTTGCCAGCTTAGTCACTTCCCAAACCTGTGCTCTCTTCCACCTGTCTCACCTGGTCATTTAATTCCTTTTTCATCTTGATCTCAGTGACGCATGGTTCTCCTGTCTCATTTTGCCTTTTCTTTTGTTTTTCTCCTAACAGCCACCAAGCCCAGACAACATGCTGGGACCATCCAAAGATGACAGAACTGTACCAGGCGCTGGGTAAGTGAAGACCATTAAAAAGTCCTCGTATAGTCGTACTCATTGAGACCCTGCTGGGCCCCCGTCGAACCTCCCTCTACTCACTGTGAGACTCCTGTCACACGGCTCATTACTGTCCCTGGATTTGGAGCACCTCGGGGACTACAGCAGGGGTGTCATTAACCTATGGGGCCCAATTTGCCAGCGCTCTGATTGCTTTTTCTTTAGCCTTTAATTAATTGTGATGAAACGACATGATGTGTTGTGGTGATAGTCTGATCTGACACAAAACTAGCAGGGGACTGAGGGAGCGGATTGTACTTCCAGCAACTTGTATGTGCGACAATGTGCTACTGTGTGTGTATACTTAATGGACTGAATAGTGTAGTAAACAATATTAATTCCTAGATAAGTGGCTGATTATTAATTATGAATATTAAAATGGAAATATCAAAATCTCATGTGAGTAATCTGATTTCATGAGTAAACAAGGATCATACAACAACAAGGCAAATTAAAGGTGCACTACGTCACCTGCTTGTTTCTATGGATATATCATTGCTCTGTCTGGAATGTTCCACAGTATGACATAAAACAGGTCTACCTTACATTTATTCAATTACAGGTGGTTTTACTGTTCAAATACCTAGAAAAACAGGCATTCTGACTGTGACCGGGGTTACCTCTCCACAGATCTGACAAGTAACGTGGTCTGGTTTAATCTCCATGAAGTTACAAAGGTTTAATACCATACTGTGAAACATTCCAGACAAAACAATAACATTTCCATGGAAAAAAGTATTTAAAGAACCATCCACCAGAATGCACCTCTAACGTAGCAAAGACAAGGATTAAAGACAAAATGAAATCGAATGTAAAAAATTATGCTTTCACTTTCAAACTCCACTGTTACACTAAAAATCCCCTCATTAATGGAAAACATGGCATGAGGTGTTTTGGATTATCAGATTTAGTTTGTGCTGTTGTTGGATTATTTTATTACTCAAATGATCAGGCATTTTTGGCCATGTAAATGTATCCACTGAAGCATAGCTGTATAATTAGTTGAGTGAATCTAGCAAATAAATGTATAAGATGTAAAAGAAAAACCTAAAAATATGTGTTGCCATTTTCAGTACATATGAAAATAATAGTAATAGAAGTAAAAAGTTGTCAGCTGGATATATTAGTTAATACCATGTTTGGGATTCTACCCAGAAACCTTCTTCAGTTCTGAGGCAAGATGCTGGTAGATGACTGAATATAAACTGCAAAGGAGAAGAGTTTAGTACTGAGGACATTTAATCAAGCTGTTTCCTGCGTAGAAGCTGTATTAAGTCATTATCCTATTCCAGAGCTTAGAGGACAACTTTTTGTAAGGTTTTTTAAGGTTCTTTACTATGGAACACACCTGGATGACTGATACACACATTTTGTGTTAAACATGAAACAGGCTCTGTGCACAGCAGGACACTATCTAGCTAAGAGTCACTTTTATTAAACTATTTATTATTATTAATAAAAAATGTACTACCTAATTATTTTTATATGTAGAATACTTCAGTTTGTGGCGTTGTTGTGATGTTTATTATGCCTCAAAAGTAGCATTAACGTTAGCATTGTACTTTGTAACCGGTGATTTCTGTTGGTGATTGAATTTAATACTACAAATGTGTAGCAGGAGGGTCTGGGGCCTTCCCCAGGGGAATTTTGGACAAACTCTGTAATTTACTGTATTTTACTGCATTTTAGACGTCTACACAGCCACAGTTGAATAATATAGTCTATATTTATTTTTCATGGGTTTAGGGTTTAGTGGTTATATGTCCTCAAACACTACAGGTTTAAGCCTGTAGCAGGACATCTGAACACATGTTTTATCCTGGAGTATTTATCATGAAATACTGCTGAGAGGGTCAGACGCCCCGTGTAGCATGTGTGTGTTGCAGTTACATGCATCTAAGTCTGTAATGCTACAAACTTACTCAGATATACTTTTTTCAGTTAGGGTTTATGAATGTATCTCCGCAAATATGAGGTCAAACACTGATTTATCCCCTGGGTGAGACTCCGAAGGGACCGGGGGGAGGCAGTGCCAGTGATTGTGTCCATGGAAGTATAATATGGTCGTATTTAATCAGATGAGCAAAGATTGTGCCACTCAAAACTGTCAATTGATAGGCCATAATCCCAGACATTTTGGGTTCATTTAGAAATTCCTCACAGATGTTTTTTTGGGTCGCAGAAGGACAACATGTCCAGGAAAAAGAGGATGTCTGGTCATCCCATTTGAGACACAAACATTTCATTTTCTAAACACAAGTGTCCTCCACCGAAGTACTCATTTGATTTGTGTACTTTTTAACATGTTGTCAGTGACATCCACCCACAGCTCCTGGTTCACTGTCTTATCTTTAAATATTTATTCATTTTAGCATGACTAGAAATAAAATTGGACAGGAAGTAGTGATGTAGCACTCTATTGTGCATAGAGCCTATTAAAATAGCTGACTAGTTTGTTAAAAACATCAAAGTGTAAGCATGTGGTTTTTCATATTTGCGTTCAATAACTAGGCATGATGTGGTCATAAATTTAACAACAAACTAAATATATCTACCTCTAACTTCTGCTCAAGTCATGATATGACTATATGCAGATATGAGATCGAGTGCAATTAGTGTCTTGGATAGCGTGACAAACAGTACAGTGTATTCCTCGATGGCATCAGGGAGCGGATGTGAGGGATTGCTTTGTTTTCCCTCATCAGTTCATTTGCTCTAATCTCTTATCTCTCTCCTTCCATTAGCGGATCTGAACAACATCAAGTTCTCGGCATACAGGACGGCCATGAAGCTGCGGCGGGTGCAGAAAGTGCTGAGATGTGCGTACTGGATTTCAATACTGCTACACTTCCCCCTCACTGTAATATCTAATGTTATCAGAATGGATCCATTATGACCAGCCCTACTTTGGGAATATGATCTGACCACTATACAGTCTTTATATAGCCATCTGCTAAAAGCTCGTGCTAATCAAAGTTATTGATAAAGCAAAAGCCAGCCAAAATCAGTTAAGCATTGCATATTTCTCATATTATCTACATTAGGTACTTAAATAAAGTAGATTTTTATCACTGCCCTGCTGCACATCTCTGCTTATTTTTCTTTGGTCTTGGGACGTGGAAATAATATACTGAAATAACATCGACAGAGAGATAGATGGTATGTCATGTTGTCACTGGTATAAAAAAGGTAGTCATTTGAACAGTGTTTTTTAAAATTGCCATCCAGGAAGCCATTATCAATCTGAAACTGATGGCAACTGAAATGTCTCAGCTTCAAAAACATTGTTGACTACCTTTGAAACTTATTCTATCACGGACCACTCCTGGACGAATGACTGATTTTGCTCTCTCATGTTCTCACAAAATCTAATTAAAAGTAAATTATCCAAACAGCAATAGAGAGCAAACTAATTCCTTGTTTGGTTATGATGCAGTCTTTTCCAAGCTGTAATACCACTGGGACTTCCCATTTCACTTATCATTTTAACAACTACTGACTCCAAATAGTCCAGTTTGCCATTGCAAGTACTCAGTGTTACATCCTATTGCGTGGCTGTTTTGTTCTTCAACCTTTTCCCCTGCTTTGTACCTCAACACATGAATGTATAATCACAACTCCACTTTTGCTAAAGCTACAACTGCACCAGCACATGTGAAATAACAAGACCACACCATTCAACTTCTAATATGGTGCATTTAAAATCCCATTGGTGCTTGCTGTTTCGCTTGTGTATTCTCTTATCTCTTCACCATGTTTTCTACTCCAGCTGATAGCACCAGAGTATTTAATTGCCATGATAACTGCAGTACTCTCTGGTCTATGAATGATTGAGCAGCGTCGCGTAAAAGCCAGTCAAAAGTACATTATAGTATGCTTCCTTTCCTGCGTTGAGAATACTAGCCTTATCTCGCTGTCTTATTATCGCACTATCCAATTATACCTGGCGTGGGGCTTTTAGAAGCACTACCAGGGATGGGCCATCAAATTAGTTTTGCTGAAATCAGATTTGTGTCACTGCTCTTGAATCATGCGGTCGCTGCTTAAGTGGGGGAGAGAGGGAGTAGGTAGCTCAGCCAGCCGTGCTCCTTTGGTGGAGGTGAGGGATCCCGCTCCGTATAGTTGGGCGTTTGTCTTACTAAATCGAAGAGTGTCTTTGAAACCAGTGGAATACTTTCAAGCTTCTGCAGGTTAGCTAGCTGTATATAAGATACTTCAAGGCCCAATTTCTGCGCTCTATGAAATTAATCTATGAGCAATAAAGTAAATGGGTTTATTATGACTAGTGCTGCACAATTAGGTTGAAATTGTCCTTTATGTTGTGGCAGTTCTTAAATTATACTGACTGGATGGGAGCACTTTATGTTCTATTGGTCAAATAATATTTCATAGAGTCTAGTCATCATGGGGCCAAAAGATCATACTCAAGCATAAATGAATGCAGAGGATTGTGAGAATAAGGACGTTCATTCAGTATAGTGAACTACAGTCTTAGCTTTTATGCTGTATTCTATATATTGTAAGCATTGTAACCAGATCACACATCAAATGTACTCTCATCTTTTCTGCACTGCACTGCTTGATAATGTCTTGTGTGATACAACAGAAATTAAGATGAAATTATGCATGTATGAAATAATAAAATATGTAAATGTATTTTGTAAATAGTGGCACACAATTTAGCGTTGTAGTGCTTTGAGGGAATTCTTAGTAACTTCCATTTTTTTCATTTTAATAATTCTGTTTTATTCTGCTAACACTTGGGAGATGAATGCAAATAGTGAGGACTGAAATAAATAAACATTACCTGGAAATGTTCTGTTACCAACTTCATGACTGTAATGCACCATTTACCACTTCAACATGTATAAAACTTACTTATTGTAGCTCTGACACCATGTTTTATCACAGTTTATTGTGATAACTCCATTTCCATGTTTAAGGTTGCATTTCTCTTGTTATCTGTGGCAGTGGACCTGGTCGCCCTGGGCAGTCTGTCAGAGGTGTTCCGGGAGCAGGAGCTGCAGCAGCCTGACCATGTGATGGACGTGGTGGAGGTGATCCATGGGCTTACAGCGCTGTATGAGCGACTGGAGGAAGAACGCTCTGTCATGGTCAACATACCCCTGTGTGTGGACATGTGCCTCAACTGGTTGCTCAATGTCTATGACAGGTGGGTGCGCTGAGGATGGTGATAATACTCTCTATAGAAAGTGTCACGGGTGTTGTTGGATGTGTAAAGGTGTAAATAAATAACACTAGGCCTTCTCACGCCTTAGTGTAGTTTGCCGATTCTTTCAACCTTTGTAATATGATTTTACAAAAATCAATGCAAACTTTAATGGTAATCTTGAAAAAAGCACATCATTCAACATAATCATTGTGGTTAAAATGAGTCATTGATTTGCCTTAAATGACTTGTCTGTTATTCTTTGTAATACAATGTTAGGTACTTGCTAAGAAGCTTTTCTTATATCCTGCGTTTGTTTAATGAGTGTGAATGTCAAACCGTTCATTGATATTTGTGACAAACATGTTTTAGGAAGTTATTTGTTGTTTGAAGTGTCTATTCACGTGTAAACGTTGATTAGTACATGTGAACAAAAGTCATTCAGTCTGAAGCAGCTATGTTGCCAGGTCAGGGCTGGCAGCATGGTACCTGTCGAAAAATTATTGTACAAATAATACACTTTAAACTCCTTTTTATTTTATAATTCATCAAGGCTTGTTGGAATGGATTCATATTTTCATATAGTCATCAAAGGAGCTTGTGAATTTCGAAAAGTATCTTGGCAGCAAGTCATTAAACAAGAACAATGCATTCAAATAAATAACAGTGGCTTGAGATCTCAGAAATTGGTTTAGTCCCATAAGTGTTTCATTATGTGTATGTCTGCTGGAGCCAAAAGGTGAGTATGCATCACAGGTTATCAGCCAGATGTGCCAGTACCTCAGTGGGCAAGTAGCTCAGCTGGTAAAGTATTTGCTTACTGATCACAAGGTTGGTGGTTCAAATCCTGCTCCTACAGTTAAATGTTGTTGCTGTGTCTTGCCCCCACTGTCTGTGTGAATGCAAAAAGCACTGTATTAAACTGTGACCATTTACTTTATTCTCAATCAGATCCAAATGTTTGATTTTATGGAATTTTTCAATTGTCATCATGCAATTATACCATGTGACATGTTGCCAAAACACCTATATATATAAAAGTAGGGTAGTGGAGATAAAAACGAGAAAAATTGAAGTGTGCATTGAAACAAACAGGCCTGTGCAATAGCCTCTACACCAGGACATACAGTATAAGTGTAACATCAGCTTTGTGAGGATTATGTTCCCAGCTCTCCTTGTTCTAAATGAGATTGGTGGATGTTAGGCCATCTTCTGAGGACATTATACTTCACAGCACTGGCCTGACTGTCATAAGCACACTTCTTCACTGTCTTTAGTGCTACACTCCTGACAAATATCTCTCACTCTTGCACAGCCCAGCACTCCAGCATCATGTAGCCAGGGATTATTTGTCATTTGCATACATTACATTATTTGACTGTATTAGAGTCATGTAAACTAATAAAATATGACACATGGAAGGAGGGGAACACAGCAGGCACAAAGGTGTTAGAAACTGACAGGGCTTTGTTATTTAAAATCACTGCATTAGCTCCAAGGAAGTGATCATACTCTAAAGATTCTGTAGAGCGGCTCTGGCCCCAAAACAGACATGTACACTCTGTAGGTTTGTGTTAAAGGAAATTCATTGATTCACAATTGGCTGCAGGTTCTGGTGCTTAGATTCAGATCAGAGAGGCATTTTAGGATTTAAACTAACTGGATTTCAACATTGAATCTGGCAACCCAAATGAGAGCCTCATGAGGCTCATTCTGCTTTCTGATTGGATAATCATCTTGACAACCATAACACCAAATTATAACATAAATGGGACATCTTGTCCAATATTTTTGCCATTAAGAATGAATCACCAACTGCTGCCAATAAAATTTTACCCTTATACTCTTCTAGTGGTCAGTTTTCTCAGCGATCCTTTTTGCTAGACAGTTTTTAATGATTTGTACTGTATGACCTTTACAATCAATGGCAGCTTTCTGAATTACACAGTTTGCTGCAGTTTGTCAACTTTTATAATTGTTGTTTCTGGCAAGACATTGATTCCGTAACATTCATCCACAGTTCCCTCTCTGTAGACTACCACCACTCTGAGAAAACACCCAAAGCTACTTAACAAATGTTCAGGCCGAGTGCCAGTTTTATTCCTCTTGCTACACTGCGGCTCATGCTAGGCTAGTCTCCCACTCTCTGCTCTCTTTGATTGACTGTGTGGTCCCATCCCAGGAGAGTGTGTTGGGCTCTGGCTCTGCAAACCACAACAGTCACCCCACTCTTCCTATTTAATAGCTAGCTGCCTCTTAACCACTGGCTGCTAATGAGAGACAATCACGGACTTTATCCTCTGCATAAATTTTTGTAATTGCTTTTTGTCTTCCAATAAACATGAGCAGTGAATAAGAATGAGGATTATTCGAGTGGCCATTTTGGTTTATTTATGATGGTATGAGCACAGTCCTTATTATTGCTTGTGTGTGCATATAGACTATAGTGCTGTATATAGTGAGATTGGTGCAGGAGTGACGTGTCTCCTGGGATGATGTGGTGGGGTGCATATTAAGGATGGCACTCGGAACACTGCAGAAAGTGTGTAAAAGGTGCTGACAGGATGTGGTCCCTCCTCATGGGGGGAAAGGAGTAGTGCTGTAAAGCTGTCACATATGCTATAGTTCATTATGATTCTAGCTGCGAAGCAATGATGCAATAGATCTGTGCTTTTCAACTGCTCTGAATACAAGACTCAATACGTATTTATGGATTCATTTTTTTGCCTATACACTATTTTAAAAAAATCTTCAAATACTCCAAATGCTGATATTATAGATGTTTATATGTTCATAATTTGTAATAGTAAATAAAAGGCACATGATGAGTTCCTGTCTGTCATGAATTTAATATAATTAAAACACTTTGCTGAACTAATTTTCTATTTGGCATGAGATTGCAGTTGTTATGATTATGCGTCCAGTAGATTGTGGATTTGATAGCTGTGCCTCTCACTATAATAACTGAATGGGTTGTTTATGTGCTGTGAAACGTGTACACTCAAATAGCTTTTTAGTGAATGAATATGACATTGAATTGTTTTCTGTCTGTTTGTGAATACAGTAATTAACTGACTATTGTGCAGGATGTAAGCCACCTGAAAGTTGCTTCAGTAAGAACTGTCCAACTATCTTCTAGTGTTATGAAGCAAATCATTTATTTAACTTTGTAGTTATAAATGCTGACACTAAAACTTTATTCTACACTCCATCAATCCACTTTTGGCCATGGCCCACCCTCGAGTTTGACTAATGTTCCTGCCTTAAAACCAATCTGCAATATTTTACCAGTATCCCCGGCTATGGTTTTGACAAGCAACCTCTGAATTTCTTCTTTCCAAGGCAGTGATTCAATTTTATACTTCACTGAGCTGATGTTCTCAGATGAATATGATTCTCCACTTAACGATTCAAACGTTAATTCAATAAGCCGGCCTCTTTTGCCAACTGCTTCTGCTCGCCACTGCGTTTCTCATTCCCTCATTGTTGGCATGTGAGCTGTGAAATCTGAACACTGCGAAGAACTGTGCTAGAGCCTTACTAGCACCTTTCCAACTTGGAAAAAAAATCTGATGAAGATAAGGCATCATACATTTCTAATTGGCAGTCTCATATAGGCTCAGTTTACAACACAGTGAGTCTATGTGTCTATGAAGTCAAGCATTAAGTAGCATTAAGTGGTCTACTTTGTCTCATTTCTGATTCATCTGGGAACTAGAACAATAACTATACACTACATCTATTCAGTGAAATGCCTGTAGTGCCTTTTGATGTGCACCGATTTTGCAGTTCCATTGACCTACACTATGCCATTCTGACCCACGTAATAGTAATACAACAATAATGGCTTATGTTTTTATTACACTTTACAAGCCTGACAAGCCTTGCAAAGTGCTATTCTGTAGTTATTATTCCTTGTGTAGCCACAGCTGCCTCTTTCCTCCTGCACTACAGATAAGAGTCCTTGAGCCCTCTGCTCCCATCTGTGTTGCTTTTCTCGTCCAAATTACATGTTTATCATTACAGACTGCTTTAACTGGTTTTCAATACATAGCCTACCATATGTTTTTAAACATATGAAAAAATGTAACTATATTACACTTATTTCCTGATATATGTTATAATGTTGTTTCATCACAAACATACCTGAAGTTGTGTCGTGTTTCACATGTTTAACACACAAACCCTGTATGTTTAGGCCATAGATCGTATATATGAATAGACATAGCTAACACACTAGCCACCGCATGCCAAATAGGAAGTGTGCCAGGAGGCTCTTACGGCTCCGTCTGACCTTGGGTCCAATTGACTTACATTGGGATCTTGTCTCCCCTCTCTCTGTAACTGCTGCAGCGAGCCTCATCATTTTGGTCTTAAAATGTTCCTATTAACCCCACTCTACATGATCCAGAATTTTACGCAATTTTGTCCTTAAAAAAAAATCCTAATAGGGCCTAGCTCCAGATTCGCTCCTATAACTGTTAGCATCACGAGCCTCATTTGAGCGACGCTGAACGCTATGTGACACTCGCTTAGTCCACTTCATTTATACAGTCTATGGATTAGGCTGAGTTCTTCTCTCAAACACAAAAACTCCATACACCCTCATTAGAATCATTTGGATCTTTTCAGCCCTGGAAATTGCCCATTTCTACTGAACCAAATGTGAAAGGTAGTTGTTAACTTGAAAAATACCGCTACCTGACATCACAAGGTGGAACAGAGCATTTTGAACTTTGGAGATGTAGACAGACTTATAATAAAGGATTATTCAAAAGTTTAAATAAAGCAAAACACAACTCTAGGTCTGTTTTTGATCATATAATAACACTGTAACATGGCTAAAAGCTCACAGTAGCCAGTTGTGCATAATGTAGGACCTTTGAATGTTATACTTCATGTTATCTTCTTTGGAAAGCTAATTCTCCTTGCATATAGTAACCTATACAGTAATGTAATGTTGGTTGGCTATACTAAATATTGTTGTTCTTGTTGAAAATATTATTTTTTTTCTTTCCTGCAGCCCTCGAAATGGGAAGATGCGTGTTCTGAGTTTTAAGATGGGTCTGGTGAGTTTGTGCAACGCCGACGTCCAGGAGAAGTACAAATGTGAGTGTGATGTTTGTCCCTAATGCATCTGCACAGCCCTCAACAATGAAGCAAAACAGAGCCCTAGTAAATGCCAGCAGAACATAAAGGCGTCCACTTAGTCTAATGGAGGAAATGACTTGGGCCCTGTAATGCAGAATGCTTTCTTTACATACACAGTGTACTGGGGGGCTTAAAAGGATTGCTTGTCAGAAATTCAATTCATGTGTTCACATCTCTAAGGCTTTCTCTTCAACTAGCACTGATTTGACTTTTATTATAAATCATGTCACCACATTCATTAACCCGGCTGAGATCGGATTTTACTGTTTGGAAATGGTTTATAAACTGCTTTTTCATCTGGGGTAAAATGGTGAGTGAGCTTTGAGTCCACAATAGCTGATGTGAGCAGCTTGTATTTGATAGGGGATACAGGGGAACACAGAGAAGCTGAGGCAGGTTTACTCATGCCTGGCACACCATCTGTGATAACACATTGGTTATCAATTCAAACGTGTGTGAGGCGAGACTGAACTCTTTCTCTGGGCTTAGGTGTATGTGGTTGCTATTAGAGAGTACTGTCCAACAAACTTCATAAATGTATATTAAGAATTAAAAAAAATATTTATCTATGTACTGTACTGTATATGGTAGCAATTAAACTCCAGGAAACCACAGTACAGTGATTCATATATTAATTATACTTCATTTTTTTACATCAGATTTTTCCTGATTCCTTTGTGTCAGTGCAGGTTATCTGTATGTGTTCAGGCTTTTGAGGTTACCATGGTCTTGCTCCGCTTTTTTGGTGGGTCTTGCACTGCCTGCTTGTCCCTAGGGGGATGTTATTGCAATGCCTGAAATGTTCCAAAGCATGGCATTAAACTTTTATATTTTCTTACCTGTCCAGCCAGAAACACATTTTTGACAAAAGTTGATGAGTGGGTCTGGAACCGTATCCTTTTACCCCATTTCACATGGACTTGGTTGACTGGCAAGATTAACCAATCAGAGGACTCAGGTAAAGGAGTGAGAGAGAATTTTGTTCTGAATGTCACAAAACTTTTCAAGAACAAATGTCTTCCACATTTGAGAGACACGTGATACAATTTAGCAGCTGTGGTTCGACCACCCCAAAATAGTACGTGGTTTGTCACACTCTGTGGTCCGATTCCAGACCCTGTTGGATTCAAAGTAAAAAAGACTGGCTCTTCAGACAATATATTTCTATGGACACAAGCTGACAATACATCAGGCACAAGTCAGATTTGTGAAGAATTGGGCCCACTCACTGTAAGAATGCATGTTTTTTAATCAATAAAAACACTTGTACAGTTATTGATAAAAAGCAAGATGGATTATTTGCCTTTGGAACTTCCCAGGCTAACAATAACATCTACAGAGTTGCACTGCATAGTGCACCTTTAAGAGTGGTGAGAAAATAATTGTATGATTTACGACATCAGAGAAAAATTTGCCTTGGTACTGAATGAGATAATTTACCATTCCCTGCACATTCACCAAATTTTTATTTAAAAAAAAAAGAATAATCATTTGAGAAAACTGTAGCAACCTTCCAAATAACAAATAAAATGACCCTAGCATTATGTTTTGTTTTTGTTCAAAATTGTTTCCTTATCTTGACTGAAACAACTGAGAGGAATCTGTAATGACATTTCATTTGCTGTTTATTGAGTTTTGCCAGAAACTTTCAAAAGCTGAAATTATGTGTCAGGGCAGACAAGGCTGAATTAATAATCTCACTTTCAAAACTTCATAAACAGACCACATGAGCTGGGGCCCCAGAGTCTTAATAGAGTGTTTGTGCTGAATGAATAATGTCATTTCCACTATTTAAAAGAGTTTAGTGCCATTGTAACTGTCCAAGGACACAGTCACCTCAGTACAGAGCTGCACACACTGTTGACGAGCTACTTCAAATGTAAATGACTTGTATATTGTGATTCATAAATCCAGACCTGAAAAATTCATCCCTTTCAAACTATTCAAAGACAGTTTAATATGAAGCTCAGGTTATAGGGACGGTTTAGACGATACAGATTCGGATGTAGCTAAATAAAACACACAGTGGTCCGTGTAACAGCATCTTAAGACATGTCCTGTGTACAAAGGATTCTCTTGTTGTGTAGCGAATCAGAAAGCACTATGGGTTGCCAGATCTGACGACCTAATCCAGTATGCAACTAGAAAAGCACTCAGAGAGCGCAGACCTCCGCCAAGGACTACCCCCATTTTTTATATAAATTGCGATAAAATCAGTCTTCTGGATCAGATTCGGATCAGCCTTTGGAATATGAAAGAGGATCCATCCCTGAGTCAAATTTCATGGGGTTTGGTCAATAATTAACCGAGATATTGAGAAACAAAATTTTTGGCTCCATTTACCACAATGTTAACAAAAATTTCAAAGTGATCCAGAATCCAGGATTTCTTCCGGATCACCCCCAAAATGAAATCAGTTCTTCCTTTTCACATTTCCAACAAATCCTGAAAATTTCATCAAAATCGGTCCATAACTTTTTGAGTTATATTGTTAACAGACAAACAAACAAACAAACAGACAAACACCGGCAAAAACATAACCTCCTTGGCGGAGGTAATAAAAGCAAAATAGCTCTTTATGGTATGTGGTCTTAGTACATGACAGCTATTAGTATCCCAGGTTCAACTGTATGTCCATTTTTAAATCAGTAGGAGCACATTTTACAGCTATTAACTGTATCATAACACTGACTATATTCTCTTCCTTTTTCTTCATTTCGTTGCAGTCTTGTTCCGTCAGGTTGCGTGTCCAGGTGGCACCACAGACCAGCGGCACCTCAGTATGCTGCTCCACGAGGCCATCCAGATCCCCCGACAGCTGGGAGAGGTGGCAGCGTTCGGGGGCAGTAACGTGGAGCCCAGTGTCCGCAGCTGCTTCAGAGTGGTGAGAGCAAACTACCTGACATGTCCTACCGATCGTAGTCATTAATATGCAGTTTTATACTAAACCAACCTTATATTGAAAATATATTCAGAATACGAATTTGAGTGACTGTATTATGATATTTGGTGGCATTAGTGAGAATGAAATAGGGTAACATAAAGCTGGTTTAATTATATGTCAAGTTTTTACATTATAATTTAGTGCAACTCAGTGTGAAGTGTGTGAGCTGTGAGTATTCAGGATGCAGTGCTCTAGTTGGGCCATGTATCAGAATACTTTCTAATACAGATATTCGGTATTCTATAACTAAAGAGTATTCCAACACTGCCTTTAATACCATTACAAGTAAGGTAAATATTTGAACTTTAAATTACACTGGTGAGCATTTTTTTTTACTTAACAAAAGTGAGGAATGAAAAAAACACCAGCATCTTGTGAATCTGACAGCTGTGGAGTCCATTGTCCTCCGCTCTAAGTCAGACTCTTTTGAAGTGGTTAAATGCGGGAGAGGGACTGCACAGATTGTTACAAAGCAGCAGACATTACATCAGATGAATATTTCATTGTGTTGCTTTTAATGCATATAAATCAGAGCCAGCAGATGCTTGTTGTACCCACTTTATATCGAGTCCAGGGGAAGTCTGTGTTGTTAAATTGGAAGTAGCATAAACATGTATGCGATGATATGCTGAGGGCTAGGCTAAATAAAAAGTCTATATTAAGTTGTTTTAAGTTGTTCTGAGCTGCTGAAGCTGGGTTTTAGGCTGTGTGACCTGCACCCACCAACATTATACACAAAACCCCAAATCTTGAAACTATTGTTGTGGTCGGACCATCACTTCTCATAAGTTGGCCCCTCTAAATCTGTTTAAGTCCCTAATTTCTGAAGCACATCCTAATTAGCCAGACTTTATTCTGGGCCATGCTCAGCGTTTCTGCGGTGGCTGATTAAATCAATGTCTTCACCCATTTGCTCCATGTGAGGGCATTTAGCTGCAGATGAAATATCCATGTTGTGAGAATTGGGGCCTGACCCATGTGCCCGTTTATCACTTGGCTCAGATATGATTGACATTTGCTGGCACTGCAGTCTGGCTCTGCACCAGCATACAGCAGCAAACGTACGCTCGCAATGATTCTGTTGGCAAAGTTTCAGTGCACTGAGGTTATTAGATCAAAGTCAACTTTGGAAACAGTGAATACACAGAAAATGCTTATGCTTTTATTCGGTGGAGACATTTGGATTCCACAAAGTTGTGCAGTTTAGAGGATGAGGGGCACACAGCAGTGTTTTGATAGCAGAGCGTTTATTCCACAGATTTTTATTGATGTTTAAAGCTCCCATCTGCTCAGTGCAGTTTGGGACACAGCAGCGTGAGCAGAACAGTCAGGTCCAGGTGTGCGCTGAGCGAGAGGTTGTTATCTGACCTCCTGTGAGGAGCCGTCTGTCTCTGAGCTCTGGAGAGGAGCTCCTTATCCCCAGAGGCCCAGCACCTCCACATGCCCTGCCGCGCTGTGAGCAGCACACACACACACACATTTATTATGCTGCTCTGCTTGAGCAGTGGAGGCAGCCCCAGGGAAATCAACCTCTTAATGCATCTCTGATGCAGACTTAATGAGAATTTAGCACATCAAGGATTCTCTGCGCTTGGCAAGTCATTCTTTTATTAGCTTTACTTCCTTTTATCCCACTTTCTGGAATTCTCAGCAAGGAGGTGCCCAGACACAAATAGGCAGCCCCATGTCTGCTGTCTCAGTCGGGTAATTATGTCTTTAAAGTTAGCACTAGCATTGACCTTGTTATATAGGTGGATCTAATTTCTCTGTCTCTGAATTTGCTCTCTGGTGCCTCCACATTGTTCTAATGTACAGCACTGTGCTCAGGCCCCAGGGAAAGCCACCATTGAGGTGTCTCACTTCCTGGAGTGGACAAGCCTGGAGCCTCAGTCCATAGTGTGGCTGCCCGTCCTGCACCGCGTGGCTGCGGCCGAGTCCACCAAGCACCAGGCCAAGTGCTCCGTGTGCAAGCAGTGCCCCATCAAGGGCTTCAGGTGAGGTCCATTTCACCGCAGGGCTGCCACTTACATCAGCACCGTCAGACAGCCTGTGATTGACAAATGCATTGTAACTCTGAGTCCACTGTCATAAGCTTTTCTTACACTGGACTAACATCACCTGTGTCTGTTGGTTATGTGGATCTGGACAGGTATCGCAGTCTCAAGCAGTTCAATGTGGACATCTGCCAGACCTGCTTTCTGACCGGACGCACAACCAAGGGAAAGAAGTTACACTACCCCATCATGGAGTACTACACCCCCGTAAGCCAAGCGCACACTGACGAAATACAAATGTGAGGCTTTAGAAAAAAGTACAAACAGCTCCTGGTATCAGCAGCTCTAGATGAGTTATCTACTCAGCAGCCTGCCATCTTTTTACTGCGTTGACTCTTATGTGATGTCCACTTTTTTACCATAATCTGATATATATCATATATCATTTAGGTGTGACTACACAGCAGCTACTTCTAGGCTCACATACTAACATTTACCACGGTACACTTTTCTACATATCTAACGTTTACTATGGTACCCCTTTCATACATATCTAAAATGTTCAAACTTTTAACAAAGATGATACTGTCGAAAACGGATGATTCGTAAAAGTTTAAATGTTAAATAGTTGTTGTAAAAAGTAACCAAAATGATGGACCAAAAATGAAATAAGGTCTTCCAGTAATTCTTAAATTGTGTGTCCTGTCTGTCCCTGCCTTCTGCCTCCCATTGACTGTTAAATTGCATGACAGACAACATCAGGGGAGAAGATGAGGGACTTCGCCAAGACTCTGAAGAACAAGTTTAGGTCAAAGCAGTATTTTACCAAGCACCCACAGAGAGGCTACCTACCTGTACAGTCTGTGCTGGAAGTTGAGGCCTCCGAAACGTGAGTCCCACTCCAACACCTCTTCCTCCTTAAACACGCTCATTATCACACCTGGCCAACCTATTTCAGCTAAATGGGTCAAAAGGACATCTCTTTGACTGTGATTTCCATAATGATATTCTACTGTGCACTGTCTGAATGCAAATATTCTGAGCACATGAGCGAGTCTCACCCAAAGGTAAAAACAAGTGCAATGAGATCACTCCAAACAGCGCTCAGGGCCACTGCAGTACCACATACAAACAGCATCATTATACATGGACACGTCTGTCTATGGAAGGCTCTACTCTTTAACCTATAGGAGGTAAACATTAGACCACATATGTAGGTCTTTAAAAGAGGTTTTGTCTAAGTGACATTTCAAATCAAATCTTCTACAAAAGGTTAATGTTTTGACTTTTAATTGATCCATCTAAATCAGTATGCAGGAAGAGAGACTTATACTGTGGATTTTGGCAATGCAAGTTCAGAAGATAGAATTATATTTTCAGTGTATAAAAGGGCATGCTCAAAGTGGCAAACTGCTTTAAATCTGAGGATTTAGTAAGTAATAAGTCACAGATTATTGCTTTGCATGTGTCTATATCTAGCATAGTGGTTTCTAACCTTTTCCTCCCAGTGACCCCTGTTTTACATTTGGATACCGAAACAATCTGACAAACCATTGTCTTTTAAGAGATGTTTATGGATATCCACAGATAATATACAGTTAGCAATAAAAGCAGGGAAGCAAGGAAAAGGAATGATAAGAATATATGTTACAGTAACTTAATATGCCCTCCCTTGGTCATAAAATTGATCATAGATCAGTTTTCTTTTGTTTCAGCTTTCTAAGAAGCTCTGGGTAGCCAGAGACATCTATTGCTTAATACTTAAGAATAAAAAAATATATAAATGTATATAAAAAGTGTGTTATGTAAATCTTGGTATAGGATCTTTCCTCTACCTCTGCTTTTAACCATGAACAGTTTATAATGTTGGGATGTCACATAAACCCAATCAATTGTAAAGGCGAATGATTTGTTATTATTCAGTTTTGTCATGTAAACAAGGTAAATAATAGGGTGTGTTCATTATTATTATTTGTATGTGTTTGGCCTTATATGCAGCCAGAGCTTTAGAAAATGTTTGCAACCTATAGCATCTGTTCATTCTTGCTTCACCTGCTTGTGATCAACAACAAATCAGCCAAAGTTACTGAACTCACTCACATGGATATTGATTGAATGTACCATCAGATAATTTATGTTGGGGTTAGGTGCAGATGACTGCAGGGGTTGAAAGTATAGCGAAATACCACCTATCTGCAAATTACCAGTTAATCTACAAAATGAAACAGCAGATTCAGTATTAGAGTAAGCTGGTAATCTTTCATAGTCAGTTACTTTGCTCTGCTGTGCTATTGTATGTTGTCTTTCTTCTCTCGCCAGGCCCTGCTCGTCCCCCAGGCTGCCCCATGCCGACACGCACAGCCGCATTGAGCACTACGCCAGCAGGTACACAAATGTACACCACATGCAATTACTAAAGTTTTCATACTCCCCTTTCTTCTCCTTTCCTCTTGGTAATAAGTCCAGCTGGCCCGACCTCTGGCTCCACCACCACTTGTTGATTGAAGTATTGATTTGGCTGTGGTCCTGTACTCTAGCCTGGGCGAACACTTCTGTTCCCGAGTGGGATGTGTGTCAGGTGGGGTCATGGGGCGTCTGTGTTGCTGGCGGCTGGATGTTTCTAGCTGCTCGTTGCTTGCTAGGGTTGTGCAGATCGGGTTGTTCACCTGGGAGCTGTCCTTGTGGGTTAGTATCTGTCTGACAGGTTATAAACAGAGAGGGACATTGGACACCCCCTCTGTGCTGGCAGCATAGCCAACAGTCCCATTGTGTGCAGTGAGCCAAGAGCAAACCAGACCAGGCAGAATTGTTCCTCCGTTCTTGTCCTTGTCTTATCTCAAATCCCAGTCTGCTATTGTCTCTAAACTGCAAATGTATTTTAGACTTCATTCATGCCCGACTTTCCATTTTATCACAAAATCTTTTCCCCCTAATTTATTCACTGCTTCTCATACAGTTTTTATACCACTACCGTAGGCACTAGGGGACACGGCCAAAATTAACCATAAATGAAAAAGAGTGCCAAGGGGGAAGGCTTATTTAATTTTAATGAAACAGAAATCTACTGGTTTTGGGCTGACCTTAACAAAGTTTGACAGGGAATGTTATAAGGTCAAATAAGATTCTACTGCTGCTAAATCTGTACTTTCATATGAACTCATAATCATTTAAAAAGTCTTTCAGTGGTTGTGTTGCTGTGTGTATTTTTATCACTCTAGTTTGTTTGGTTTGATGGTCAGAAAGATAATCCACAAAGAAGGACTTTGATTTCATTTTAAGAAAAGGTCACGAGTGGGCGAAGGGATTATCTTTTTGCTAAAGCCACAGTACAAATTGCAAGATGTTGCAAAGTGAAGTTACACTAATATTTCTGTTGCAGCTCAGCATTCAGTCTGAAAGTGTAATGTCTTGATCGAGGTTAGCTCAGTTATAACCTCCACCATAACCGTAACATTTTAAAGGTCCTATATTACACAAAATAGACTATTGTGAGCTTTAAGCCATGTTATAATGTTGCTACATCCTCAAAGACATACCTGGAGTTGTGTTTTGTTTCATTCACACATGTTTGAGTAACCCTTTCTTATTAGTCTGTCTACATCTCAAAGTTCAAAATGCTCTTCTCAACCTTAGGAAGTTTTCAAGTTAACAGCTCCTTTTACTTTTTGTTTAGTAGAGATTGGCAGTTCCAGGGCTGAAATCATCCAAATGATTCAAGTGAAGGTGTATGGAGTTTAAAAACACAGTGGAGCACCTCCGGTATTACCACATGACATCACAAGGTGGAACAGAGTGTTTTGTATTTGAGATAGAGCAGCCTAAATATGCAGGGTTTATGTGTTAGACATGTGTGAATGTTTATATGTTTTATTTTATATGGTTTATATGTATCCTTGGTGAATAATAATCCTTGGGTTAAGTAAATGTTGAAGATGCATGATGAAACTAACACTGTCAAAGAGTATGTCTCAGCAGTGTTTGGACTCTGCCATGCTCTCTGTCTTGAGTAAGCACTGCTCCACAGACAAAGTTGTTATGAAAATGGGCCATTTTATCTCTTCTTCAACAGCATACAGAACAAACTGTTATCATCGTTTGCTATTTCTTTCTTTTTCTCTCCAGCTCTTTACTTGCCAGTTTGCATAAGAGGTTTTATATTCACCACATTTCAAATCTAGAATGGAACAAAAATACTTCTGTTGCTTTTCTTCTGTAGAGAAAATGCACTTTTGGAGAACTATTTTGTCATAACTTTTTGATCTTCATGGTAAAATTGAAATAAGCTGTCCTCTGAGGAGTATCAGTAACACACATACTAGTAGTAGCTATTAGCATTAGTTTATGCTTTTTCCTAATTTAACCTAATTGAATCTCTATTTTTTATCTAGAACTAAACTTAAATCACATTTGTATCTATTGATTGAAATTGTACAACTACAAATATCTGAAATTCATAAAATACATTTTGTGAACATTTCCCACATGGACAGGTGTACAGTACATGCTGATTCTGTCGGGTAACAAACATCCTTCTTTTCTCCTGTCCTCTCTCCTCCCCTCCTTGCCTCCCACGCCTCTGCTACTCTCAATGCAAAAGAGACTCACTCCCTTTTATCTTGGGCCCTGCTTCCACATGGCACGGTGGACAGATGAGGGGCACATAATAAAAAACCTTTTAGAAGTCTGTTAGGATTCTGCTGCTCCACTCTTTCACATCCTTTCACATTTGGGTCCATGCACACAGCACATGTACGCCCATTGCTTGTTCCCTATTACCGGCTGCCCTATCCCTCATTTACTGTTGTCCTGGCTTGTGGTGCTTCCTGATGAATAGTGTCGCTTGGTAAATTACGAGCAGTCAGCGTTTGTGGCCTCAGTAACAAGACACGGATAAATCCTCAGCTCCTTTCAGAGGTGGACTCTCCGAGACATAGTCCGTTCTAGCACCTCTGATGACATTCAAACACGGGGTGATCTCTTGACATTGGGCACTACTTTTGTGGTGTACTTTTGTGGTGTACTTATTAGTGTACACAGGGGCCATTGGATCATATTTATGATGAATCTCTGTGTTTCTGTTGTTGGGTCTGAAAGAAGTATGGTTGCAGTGAAATGCAGTGGAGTCATGTGGGTTACAACTTGTAACTGGTGCAAAGAAAAGGCAGGCAATGCTGACAAATCGGAGACAGCCTACTTTTTTAAAATAATGTATATATTTGCTTATTAGTTTTCCAAAGGACCCACAGTTTCTTAAATAGAATATTGTCCAAAATGTTTTTACCCCTTGCCAAAGGAAAGCAGACAAAACCACTGCATAAAAGTAAACACGCAGTTTGTTAACACAGTTCATTTCTTCAATTTAACAATATAACTGGGATACATGTAGATGGAATCCAGATTTTAGGATTGTAGTCCTGTGATTTCCATGCCATACAGTGTGAGATTAATACAAGTTGTTGGAAGTTTTTGCCAATGCCATTTCTTTGGGTGGTGTGAAAGCACTTGCAGAGCAGCCTGTGCAGAGCAGCTGTCCACACACTGTCAGAGCACAGCCACAAGCACTGTCCTTGGTCCTGAAAGCTCTACAGCTGCCCCCTCCCCCCACTCCCCCTCTCTCACAGACACACAATGTGGACTGGGTTAGCAGCACCTTTCAAATAAACATTTTTACTGCCTGCATGTTTTAAGACTGTTCTCAGTATTTTACCAGAATTATATTCTCTGACATTTGTACAGCTTTGGTGCTTCAAAGCAGATGTATTCAGTGGGTCAGAGAAGTTAATATGCAACTGTTAATACTCAAATAGAATTGGTAATACAAGAAATGCACTTTTTATCTAAATTGTTAGTTTTTTTTTTTACTTCCAATTTAGCAGCCACTAATATAGACACC